AAAAAAAAAAAAAAACATACACCTCGGCCGTTCCGCGACGTTCCGCGAGCGGGGCGTCTCCTGTGAAGTCTATCGGCCGGTGATAAAACGGCCTCGGGTAAAACTTCTCCGTTGCGGTTTTACTTGTCTTCCCGTTGTTACAAAGTGCATCGTAAATTGCCGTGAACATACGGCCAACGCATTGTGCTCACGCGCATTCGCCGGTGCGCCGCATCGAAATTCTAATTTTCTCCCGCAGTACTTAGGCCACCTTATTTATTTATCGCCCTCGAGACGAACGGTGCGGCTCCTAATAAGGTGGCGTAAATTTTTCAATCGACCGGCGCCAACTTACACCGAGGGATGAGAGAGAGAGAGAGAGAGAGAGAGGAGGAGGATTCAAAGATTTAAACCTATTAAATTGTAATTAATTTATATTTCATTACTCAAGGAATAGCGAGAGGCACCGCTAAACCGACATAAATCAGATATTTAATTAAATATGGATCGCAAAGCAATGCCCCGGAGGGATGCGTTAAAATATTCAGAGCGCAATATTCGCCCCGGTTCGTCGTCCTCTCGGACGGACGGACGGATATGCGTTAAAGTGTGCGGAATTTAACGCTGTCGAAACCCGACCGACAGGGCCGCTGCAAGACGTGACGCAAGGCTTTCCTGGTGATTGGGATTAACGAAAGAATTAAACGCTTAATTAAAGTAACACGCAGGGCCCCAATTTGTGTAATTGACTAGCGGCACGTGAGTCACGGCTCGCCCTCCCGCTCATGGGAACGGGAATTATACCAGTCACTCGAGATTATCGGATTACTCCTGATTTGCATAAATCAGTAAATCAAGATTACGAGGTAAGCAAACCCCCGGTGTCGCGAATCGGGTCAACGACGAGTGACCGTCCTTACGTGACCTTACGCGAAGGCCCGGTTTATGGGAACTTTGCATTCCACGAAGTTCGCGCGTGAAGTGTCGGTGAGAGAATGAGAGTCGCGCAAACGCGGGAATCAATGATTTAATCCAAATCAATAAAACCCAATTACACGAGTTTACAGCTCGTCGGCAGACGGGCGATTTTCGAGCGAAGGGCGTTCTCAGCATCCGACGTCGATTTCCTTTTTTCAACTACTACCATTGCTACTACTAGCAGTACCGCTTCGCGCTCTCTCTCTCTCTCTCTCTCTCTCTCGCTCACGACGACCGGTCGCTGCGAATCACCAGCTGCAGGAAGTATCGACCTCGTCCACTGGAGCGGCCTGTATAGGAGAGAGCTTCTTTCGAGTGGCTCTCTTGGTACGCGTATGTGCAAACGACGCGCGATCAATGATCTCGACTCCCCCTTCGGTGTCAACGACTTTGACAACGCGCGAAGGAAAGGATGGAGTTAGTCACGCGCGGGTCCATTAAGACCCCCTCGCCGATCGAGATCGCAGATTCGACGTGTCTCCTTTAACGATATCCACCGGCGATCCCACCCACTGTTCGCCTCGTCATGCTGCCCGAACACAATCGCCGATCGGCGGATGTCGCGAGCGAAAGAAAGGCCCATCGAGACGGATAGAAACGCCCCGGATACGTTTGTAAACGAGAGAATCGACGGCCGTTTAGCCCGGCCTGCTCCTGAAAATTCTCACTCCCGGTCCGGCGTGTCTCTCCCGTCTAAGCACTTCGAGCGGACGAAAATGAAAAGGGGGAAAAATGCGACGGGAAAAAAAAAGAAGAACAGCGCTCGTGGTAGACGGTGGGGAAATAGCGGCGTAAAGCAAAAGCGTGTTCCACATTTCGTGAGCGAGCGAGCGATCTTTTACCGTTTTTCGACACCGAGTCGCACCTTGTTCGGAATTTTCAAGTATTTTTCCTGTCAAGCGCCGATAAGCCAATAAATCAGCACGTGTTCGGAATTGTATAATTCCTGTCTCTCTCTGCTGTCCGATATCCGGTCTCGCCGCGATGTTTCCTGTCGATGTTTCTTAACAATAGCGAGCCTTTAGACTCGCGAACGAGCGCTTTTATATTTTCACGTGTGCTACACACACACACACATATATCACGGTATTTCGCGCCGACGAGTAAGAGGGAGAAGTGCGCTCGCCGTATTACGATATCGAGCTTGATACATATATAGCGTGCTTAAGAAGAAAATAATTAATTTTTCCAGCCCATTCGCGCGAGAAAGGGAATATTGGCTACCTGCCGGCGCCGCGATGGCAACGATCGAATCGTTCCTCGTTTGTGTTCGCGAGGAATATCGTAAATAAACATAAAGGAAGAGAGAGAGTGAGGGAGGGAGAGGGGTAAGCTCGCCGAACGGCCGACGTTAAATTATTTCTGGCCTTCGTAAACAGCAATCTTTTTCCAAGGGAGATGGGCTACGGAAAGGAATATCGGTCGCATCGATTTATCTGCGGCGGCGGTGGCCGACGTCCTCGTACACCTTCCCGCTTCTCGGCCAGATTGAACGTTGGCCGAGCAATTTCGCCGCAACAGAAACAACGTTTTCCCATTTGGCAATCCGAAAACAGAAGACAGCGCGCGAAGGCGTCGCGTCTCCAGCCGTGAATTTTTCACTCGATAAATCTGTCGTTACCGTCTTTCCGCGGGATGAGAGACGCGGGAATAAGTAATGACGAGCGCGCGCGCGCTCGCGAAGCAAAAGTGCCCGGCTTCGTTTCTTTCTCTTTTCTATCTTGACTGTCGACGACCGCGAACTTAAGTTTACGCTTTTACGCTCGTTATGGATTTTCACGTATACGGAGGACCGGCGTCCCTGAAATTTCATCCTCTGACGAGCGAAGTCGCGGACCGAATCGCGTTAGGGGGGTATTTTCGTCGCTGCGCTCTGAAAATGCCGGGCTCGCTCGCTCTTTTTTCCCTTTCCCGCGAAAATCTCCGGTGAAATCCACCGGGAAGGCTCACGCCTGAGACCCAATTAAGAATCGCACGGGCAAGGTTTCCTCGAGTGTGATTGCGCTCGACTCAAGGTGAGGTTCGTAAATTGATTTTTTAAGGGAATCTTTTCAGATTTCGACAGCATATTAACCGAAACACGATTCACAGAGATGCTGAAATTAGTAGAAGATTAATCTGAGATACACCGAGGCCGAGATAATCGAAATAAAATAATTAAGACCACGCACAGGCCGGTATTCATAGTCGGATCTTATATTTAGGACCGTCTTGAGTTCATCTTCGTATGCTTCGTAGCCAATGAAATGAGCCGTACAGCATCTGAAGATGAACCTAAGACGATCTTATATGCAAGATCCGACTATGAATACCGGCCACACAGTCTGTCCAGGCTTTGGTGCGACTGATTTTTCTAATTGTTTATTCTCGCAACGCCAACTTTCAATGAATGATTGCGTTGTGAAACTTGACATTTCAGCTATGACCGTTGAAAATTTCAAGACGTCAACATTTCGGCGTCATTACTTTCGAGGTTAAATGTGACCGGTACTTTATTGACGCTCGTCGAAGAAACACTACAGAATAAACAACCAAAATTAAATTTCTTATTGGTTAGGCAAAACAGCTGATGAAACGCACGAAATGATAAAAAGTTTGTACGGTAGTGATTGTTAGGTGATTTAGATGGTTTTCGTGCAAAGTGCGCGAACAAGGCATTGCTCGCCGTTTTCTTCGATTCGACGAGAGGAGTCGTCCTCAGGGAATTCATACCGGGAGGTCAAACAGTGAGACGCTAAATTATTATTATTTGAGTGTTCTGAATCGTTGGCGGAACAGGATTCCTCGAGTTTGGTCTGAATACCAAGAGCAAGGATCTTGGTCGCCTCTGCACGATAATGCACCGGTGCACAAATCCAAGATTATACGCGATTTCTTGGCCGGAAAGGCATCACGATGCCGGAACATCCCTTGTATTCGCCCGATTTGGCTCCGTGTGACTTCTGGCTATTCTCGAAACTCAAATTGCCGGTGAAAGGAAAGCGTGACGACACCATTCAGGACATCCGGAGAGCTTCGACCGCGGTGTTAAAGGCGATTCCGAAAACGGAGAA